TCATGGAAGCCTCTACATTAAGCCCCATTGCTGTCATCTGATGTTAACATATGCTTAGGTTTGCTTGCATTAAAGCACATTTCAGATATACATTGCTCTTCAAAAGTGTGGGATCAGGCAGATTTTTTTTTTTCAAGGATTCTGAATAAAAGGGTGATTCCATTAATCAAAGGTGACATTTATAATGATACAAAAGATATTTATAATGTTAGAAAATATTTATATTTCAAATAAATGCCATGCTTCTGAACCTTTTATTCATCAAAGAACAGAGAAATTAAAAAAGAAATGAAAGCTAACATTCAGCAAGGACGCATTAAATTGAACAAACGTGACAGTCAAGACATTTAATTTTACAAAACATTTCCATTTTAAAGCTGCAGTCTGTAGCTTTTTTTCGGTTAAAAATGATCCAAAATACATATTTGAGAAAATACATAACCAGCCAGTGTTCAAAACTATCTGCTTGCCTTAGCTCGATTCAAAGCGGTAAGCTTGTAATACTGTTTTTTAATTCCAGTGGTACTGGTGGATTTCCGCTGGAGATTCGAGCATGTCTTTGCGTCATTACGTCACATCTGTACACATAAAGAAGGAGTCTCCGCTAGAAGGCTATATTGCGAGTGAGGATGTTAGAGGTGGAGATTTATAGCCTTTTCTCACAGCACTTTAAGATATAATTAAACTTATCAATTTGATGGCGGATCCAGAAAGGTTCAAACGACAATCACCAGTGACAACAGATTCACCCGCTGTAAAATGCAAAAGACTTTGTTCGGACTTCGGAGTGACTACAGAAAAGAAGAGACTGCAACCGGCCAATGCGAAAACAAGGTTTCTTACTTGTTCAGAAGACATTTTCTGGTGAAAATTATTATGTTGGTCATACTTCCAAAAAGAATAATCTGTGATTCTGAATGACAGTATCCACACCGGCGCGGTGACTGACAGCCTCACAGTCTCCTCAAACATTGTGTTCATCCGCGCTGTGCCGTGTCAAGGGTGTAAAGTTGATAATTCCGCGAATGACTGCAATTGCAGATTTCGAACAGAGATGGCGACAAAGAGGAAAAACGCCGGACTGCAGCTTTAAATAAATGCTTTCTGAACTTTCTATTCATCAAAGAATACTGGAAAATTTTTTCCAATTCAGGTTCCAAAAAACATTAATCAGCAGAACTTTTTTTAACATTGATAATAACGAGACATGTTTCTTAAGCACCATATGGACCTGTGACACTGAAGACTGGAGTTATGGCTGCTGAAAATTCAGTCCCCCCTACAGGTGTTTCTATGAAAGAGCAGACTGGGTGTGCGCTGAGTCATGCTGATGCATGATGAAAGGGTAAAAAAAAAATGGACGGAAGGGGCGGCAAATTGGCCTCATCCATGACACAACAAAGAAGCGAAACAATTACTCTGATACTCTTCACTTTAAGTGCTGCTCCAAGATATGACTGGCTAAACCCTCCAACTCTCTCCTGACTGCAACAGTTGACGCGTATCAGCGACTCAAGTGGTAAATCATACAACTTTCTTCCACGGTACGGGCCTTCACACATGGTTACGCCGCTCTGGTTTCACACACTCCGCTGAGCATGAACAAGAGGAGGATGTTGTATCGCTGGCTGTGAGAGGAAAGAGGCTTTTTGAGAAGAGAGAGGAGCCCAATCCTGTGAGGATATTGAGTGTTTTCTTGTTAGATACTGAGAGGTTGTTAGCAATGCCGTGATTATAGAGAGCTAATTCTCATCTGCCAGGTTTGACATGAACAGACTATTGATGAAGGGGGTGTGATTCACATATACTGGTGTTCACTTTCGTTGAGAAAACCAATTAAATTCACTAAATAGCAAAGTTACATAAGATACATGACAAGAGAATCTGTCTTATTTATCTTTTTTTACAGAATTTACCAATGAGGTAATCTAAATACATTTAATTCAAGATATAATTCTAAAACCAAGTCTTAATATCTTTTGCCATTTGCTTTTCAAGTAAATGTATCTTGTTTAAAGGATTTCTAGATATTTTCCTGTAAATATTTTCCTATTCATCCAAATTTATCAGCTTATTTCCTTCATTTTAAAAGCATGCTCTGTGAAACTTTAAAATAAATGATGTCTCCAAAAGAAGAAAGGTTTAGAAAAACATTCACCAATACAGAAGTCTACCCAAAGCAATCCAGACAGTAATCAAAAACTGTTTCTGAGGAATACTGTGTATTCTTTGTGCTGGATAATTGAAGGTTTGAGCTCCAGGCAACTACAGCCACGATGCCCCCCTTACAAAAGACTCATCTGCCATCTGAAGTCTTTATAAATGACACTGCAATCAGAAGCCCAGACTGAGCTCATCGCTGACTCTAACAAGCCTTCCTCTTCTGTTTGCTCAGAAGTGGCCAGGTGTCTTTCAGGTGTTTTTTCCTTCTCTCTGTCCTTCCATGGTTCTTTACACACACTCATGTGTCCTTTGTAAAGCCAGCATTTTGTGTGTGTGTGTGTGTGTGTGTGCGTGTGTGTGTGTGTGTGTGTGTGTGTGTGTGTGTGTGTGTGTGTGTGTGTGTGTGTGTGTGTGTGTGTGTGTGTGTGTGTGTGTGTGTGTGTGTGTGTGTGTGTGTGTGTGTGTGTGTGTGTGTGTGTGTGTGTGTGTGTGTGTGTGTGTGTGTGTACTCTTGATCACGTAGCATGCAGTAACTGAGGCTTATCTTCAAGGGCCAGAGATTAAACTGAGGTGTATCATTTAATTCTGCACAACGGTGTTTCCAGATTTACTACTTTATCACTGGGGTAGTAGTCAAACATCTCACGCTGTATTCAGCACACTGTAACGATCACCTTTAGGTAAGTTACACACTTAATTATTATACTGCAACCCAGCTGCCTTTAACCAGTCAGAATATATATATTTTTTTATAAATATAGAGAGTTATGCAAAATCAGGTAAAGTTTGATCTCAGATAAAGTGTATTTTACACAAAACAAATATTTACAAAAAAAAAAACCACAAATACTAATACGTATACTTGTGGTCAAAAGTTTACATATGCCTTGCAGAATCTGCAAATTGTTCATTATTTTGATATAATAAGAGGAAGATGTGGTCTATGTAAACTTTTGATCACAACCATATGTATTTATGTTCACAGCCTTATATCTGAGAAAATGTATACAATTATAGAGTTAGTTCTGCATGCCCAGCTAGCAGGGAACGTTCTCAGAACTTTGGCTAACATTCCCTACAAGTTTGGTTAATGTTTTAAAGAAAACATTTGAATGTAATGTTTAAAGAATGTTTTAAGGATGTTTTCTCATTTCAAATAATGTTCCTAAGGTTAAATGTAAACTAAGATATAACGTTTTAACTGTAACATTTTGAGGATGTTTTGGGAATGTTGTTGAGATAACAGATAATACAATGTTCTCAATAAAACATTAGCAAAATGTTCCATAGTAACAGAGGAGGAACATTATCAAGTCAACGTTCGCAAAATGTTATGAGGATATCATTGAGGCCTAAGATGACGGAGTGTTTTTTATAAAACGTTCTTGTAATGTGACGTGTTAACAAAACTAGAACATTATAACTGTAACATTTTGAGGATGTTTTGGGAATGTTGTTGAGATAACAGATTATACAATGTTCTCAATAAAACATTAGCACAATGTTCCATAGTAACAGAGGAGGAACATTATCAAGTCAACGTTCGCAAAATGTTATGAGGATATCATTGAGGCCTGAGATGACGGAGTGTTTTTTATAAAACGTTCTTGTAATGTGACGTGTTAACAAAACTAGAACATTATAACTGTAACATGTTGAGGATGTTTTGGGAATGTTGTTGAGATAACAGATTATACAATGTTCTCAATAAAACATTAGCACAATGTTCCATAGTAACAGAGGAGGAACATTATCAAGTCAACGTTCGCATAATGTTTTGAGGATATCATTGAGGCCTGAGATGACGGAGTGTTTTTTATAAAACGTTCTTGTAATGTGACGTGTTAACAAAACTAGAACGTTTTAAATTTAACATTTTGAGGATGTTGTTGAGGTAAAAGTTTGTAGAATGATATTTTATAAAACATTGGCACAATGTCCCATAATAACAGAGGAGGAACATTATCAAATCAACGTTCTCAAAATGTTTTGAGGATATCATTGAGGCCTGAGATGACAGTGTGTTTTTTTATAAAACGTTCTTGTAATGTGACGTGTTAACAAAACTAGAACATTATAACTGTAACATGTTGAGGATGTTTTGGGAATGTTGTTGAGATAACAGATTATACAATGTTCTCAATAAAACATTAGCACAATGTCCCATAATAACAGAGGAGGAACATTATCAAATCAACGTTCTCGAATTGTTTTGAGGATATCATTGAGGCCTGAGATGACAGTGTGTTTTTTATAAAACGTTCTTGTAATGTGACGTGTTAACAAAACTAGAACGTTTTAAATTTAACATTTTGAGGATGTTGTTGAGGTAAAAGTTTGTAGAATGATATTTTATAAAACATTGGCACAATGTCCCATAATAACAGAGGAGGAACATTATTAAATCAACGTTCTCAAAATGTTTTGAGGATATCATTGAGGCCTGAGATGACGGAGTGTTTTTTATAAAACGTTCTTGTAATGTGACGTGTTAACAAAACTAGAACATTATAACTGTAACATGTTGAGGATGTTTTGGGAATGTTGTTGAGATAACAGATAATACAATGTTCTCAATAAAACATTGGTACAATGTCCCACAATAACAGAGGAGGAACAGTATCAAGTCAACGTTCCCAAAATGTTATGAGGATATCATTGAGGCCTGAGATGACGGAATGTTTTTTATAAAACGTTCTTGTAATGTGACGTGTTAACAAAACTAGAACGTTTTAAATTTAACATTTTGAGGATGTTGTTGAGGTAAAAGTTTGTAGAATGATATTTTATAAAACATTGGCACAACGTTCCATATACAGAGGAGGAACATTATCAAATCAACGTTCATAAAATGTTTTGAGGATATTATTTAGTCCTGAGATGATAAAATGTTTTTAATAAAACATTCCTTTTAATTGACTTTTTAACAAAAGTAGAACATTTTGCATGAAACATTTTGAGGATTTTTTAGGGATGTTGTTATCTTTTATAAATCATTGGCACAATAACAAAGGAGGGACATTATCAAAGCAACATTCATCAAATGTTTTGAGGACATTATTGGCCTGAGATGACCAAATCTCACAATGTGTTAACAAAAGCTCATAAAATTGTAAGGATATTTTAGGGAAGCTGTTTAGGTAACAGATTGTAGAATTATTTTAACCTATAAAATATTGGCATGATTTTCCATAATAAAAGAGGAACATTATCAAAACAGCATTCGTGAAGTGTTTTGAGGATTACTCTGAACTGTTTGAACTGTTGCGCGAAATGTGTTTACAAGAGACGAGAAGCTGATTGGAGGCCACTGTAGATCGACGTTTAAAACCACCAATCACAGCGTGATTTTCCCATGACGTAAGAACATTTGAAATCGACAAACAGCGCGAATAAAGTAACGTTTTTGTTGAAGAAAGCGGCGCAAAATGTCCGTTGTCTAAATTGGCTATTTGACACATTGGCCCAAAACAACAGAACTCCTGGTCAACGGAACTGAACTCTTTCACAACTGTAAGTTTTTTTGTGTGTATTTTTTCAGTTTACATAGCTTTCTCTTATCCTTGATATATCAATGACTTTCAGTATTAGATCTTACTTTCTTAGAATTGTATGACAGTCGCAATAAATCTGAGTGTATGTTACTTTTGAATAACAGCTAGATTTGTTTTAATGCAGACTCCAAACTGCCTGTTTCAAGATGATTATAACTATGTATATATGTTCTATGCATACGAATACTGTATTTTTGCTACTTAAAAGTGTTAATCTTATGTCTTTTGAAAGTAAAAGTTAATAATAATTATTTCAGTAATTCATAAAGAGGCAATTGAAAAAATTGGAAAGAGCATTAAGTCTAAAACAATTTTCAGTCATTTGTGTTTCTAGCAAATATTGTATGTGCTTGTAATATCGTTGTGTGTTGACAGACCATGTTTTAAAATATTTCAGGTAATTACTCTGCTGATGGTCCATGTATAGGACACAATCTGGCAACTATTGAAACAAACATAAACCTGCAGAGGTGAATGGATATGGGAGCTAAAGAGCCTTATAACTGGTAAGTGGTTTTGTAACTTTTGTTGTAAATCTTCATAGAATTACCTTTATATTATAGTAGGCTACAGATTGTTGTAATCTTGTTCAAATGTTAGGAAATAATTTTGTTGGTTTAAGAAAGCCAACATATTGTTAACCTATTTAAACTAAATATTATTATTATTATTATGATTTCTGAGACATAAATGTTCAACTCTTAACTCCTAGAGCTTTAGTGCTAAAAGCACCTAACACAGACCATAAAGGATCTCATCCAAAAGACATCCAAAAATGAGAATTAGCCCATGATTTACGCACCCTCAAGTCATCCTTGGTGTATATGACATTCTTCTTTCAGACGAATACAATCGGAGTTATTAAAAAAATGTCCTGGCTCTTCTGAGCTTTATAATGGCAGTGAATGGCCGTCTATAAAAGCGCATCCATCCATGATAAAAGTGCTCCACACGACTCTGGCGGGGTTATAAAGGCCTTTTGAAGCGAAGCGATGCATTTGTGTAAGAAAAATATCCATATTTAAAACTTTATTGACTAAAATAACTAGCTTTAAAATAACTAGCTTAGCATATATTTATTTCTGCTTTTGAAGTAACTAAAACTTACAGCTTCACTAATAAGAGACGCTGCACTTACAGGAATGATTAATTCACTCTAGAAATTGTTCTATCGCCAATGCATTCAAATGCAGTGCTACTTTATTTGTATCTGATTTAAAACAAGCAGAAATCTGTAAGAAATGTAACGATCCATAGACAGTATAACTGCTGTTATGTGAGAGCACTAGCCTCGTGGGCAGCGAGCGCTGTGACGTGCTGGAGCTGTGCTCACAGCGACCTGAGTTCCAGTCCTGCTTCAGCTTCAGGCTTCTCAAGACAACAGCAAAGTTTGTTCACATAATTTAGCCTCTAGTTGTGTTATTAACATGTATATAATGGATTAAGTATATTTTTTAAATTACAGAAACAAAAAAAGATACTCATAAGGTATCATATTTATACTTCCAATAAATTAGTCTTTACATAATTTCTGATTACTAATTAGGCTGGCTAATTTTGAAAGTTTTCAATGTCAATATTGCTTGTGATCTTAATGTATGTGTATTCTTTCTGTTTACACTTTTGCATGATCTTCTTTTTTAGGCTATGAGGAAAAACTCTACCATGCACACAGAGAACAGAGCTCAATGCTGCTAACTAGGCGAGCAACTGGACAACTAGAAGAGAAAAACAGTAGAACACTATTAATACAGATGACTGGATTACTCTTCTGCAAGAACCAAGACAAGCAAAGACTGATGATGAGCGCTCTGAGCAAACACAGCAGTCAAGACGCATGAGTGACTTTACTGAGTTCTTCATAGTGTTGGGCATTTACTGTACGCAGAATTTATGTGGATGCCATTTATAAACCTGTTAGATTTTGATGTTTTAGTTTTGAGATTAATACAATTGTATGTTTTAACAATGTTATAGCTAAGCATTTTTTTGTATGTTTAATAGAACATTTTGGGAACAAAAATAAAACTTACCGCTAAAAACTTTATAAGAATGTTAGGGGATAATGTTCTAAAAATGTTATGATTAAACCTTTATAGAAGGTCATCACAAAACATTTTCAGAGTGTTCTTAGAGAATGTTATGCCATCTTTTAAGAGAACATTCTGGGAACAAAAAGAAAACTACCCGCTGAAAACTTTATAAGAACATTAGGGAATAATGTTCTAACAATGTTAGCATTAAACATATTTAGAATGTTTTTAGAGAATGTTATTAGAACTTTTAGGAGAACATTCTGGGAACAAAAAGAAAACTACCCGCTGAAAATGTTATAAGAACATTAGGGAATAATGTTCTAACAATGTTAGCATTAAACATATTTAGAATGTTTTTAAAGAATGTTATTAGAACTTTTAGGAGAACATTCTGGGAACCAAAATAAAACTACCCGCTGAAAACATTATTAGAACACTGCATGGTAATGTTCTCAGAACATTTTTAGAACAAAAAATTTCTAGCTGGGTGGTCCTTTAATTTAGCCATATTTCTAGAGCTATTTTTCATTAGTGGAGAAAAAAGGTCTGAATGAATAAACCATATTCCAAAAATAAAAATACCCATACGAAACATGTATTTCTAAAACAGCAGTTATATGGGAGGATTTACCGAATAAAGTCGAGAGATGGTGGTCCGCTGGTGGTCCGGCCCTTCAGCATGGAACAAATTGCACTACACTCACACTTTGTCTCTGTGTGGTTACAATGTCTCAACATCACAATCTCTCAGTCGCCTGGCTCACTGACACCACCTAAGGGAACTGCTTCCTTCTGCCTCTTGACATCCCTCAATCTCAGGGGTTAATTCTCCTTCATCTCTCTGTTGGTCTCTCTAACTCCCCTCTCAGTTGTTTACAGCAGTCAAGGGACTGGGGCTTCACAGTTTCAAAGAACAGCGTTGTGACTTAGAGGGAGTTGGGTCTGTGAGCGAGTCATTATCCTCCATTACTGCTCTGCTTTTATCTGACAGAACGCTCCTCGCTGCTGCATAATGAGCAGAGATTGAATCACAGAGAAAAGGCATACCTCTCCATCTCTCACCTACTATATTCTCTCCCTGAGAAAATGTGACAAAGTATTTTCAGGTGAAAACGTGAGATATTGAGAGAAACATTTTAACTGTAAATGAGCTTAGATTAGGACAGACAGACAGACAGACAGACAGACACATATAGACAGATGTATATAGACAGATGGACAGACGTACAGACAGACGGACAGACAGACAAACAGACAAACAGACAGACGTACAGACAGACAGACGTACAGACAGATAGATAGATAGAACAACAAGTGAACAAACAAACAAAAACTTAAACAAGCTAATATTTACCCTATAGTCTGTAAAAAATAATTTAATGGCAAGTAGGATTTCATAGTTGAATATGTACATTTCTGAGGGACACGTGTCTGTCTGAACTTGATTTTCATTCATCATCTGTGACATTGATTGCACAAGTACGCATCAACACAGCATTCATCATTTCTCAATCACCCCCTCTTGTCTCTTTAAAACAATACTTGCTTGCATGTCAGACACAATAAACCTGTTAAGCACAGTCATTCTGTCATTTTTTCTTTATTGTGCCCATAGGCAGCTCACAAGCAGAAAGACGTTCAGGAGAGAGAAAGATCAACAGCTAAACACAAGCACTTCCATCATTATTAGACTGTCACTTTGGAGAGCTTTTTTTCATTTTGAATCCGTTCCATCACTTATGTTGGATAAAAAGCTGTGAGGGTCATGACAAATGGCCAGTGACTCTACTTACTCGCCAAAGCCAACATATATTTGCATTTGATGTTTGTTGATTATGTTTTCTTCTACTCTAGTCCCACTTTCCTTTGCATTTCACTGCTATTTATCCTTTGCTTTCTTTCTTTCTTCCATACTGCTCTCTCCATTCGCATCTCTCTCTCTCTCTCTCTGCTCTTTAGCCTCTCTGAAATTGGTCCCTCGGGCCATTTTTATCTTTCCTGGCCAATTAGTTTGCAGTGATGTGCTTTTCATCCAAAGGTTTATTTTCAGGAGGCCATGGGTTGACTGGACTGAAAGAACAGCCCCTCCAGTGAAGCGCACTGCTTCTCTCTGTCACACACCCTCTGTTCTTCCTCTCTCTCCGGCTGATGCCAAACACGCACGCACACACACTATTCAGTCCAAAACACAGTGACAGTGTGTCCCACAGCTGAGAAACACTAGCCCTATTAAGACAGTTATTGTTGTACATGGAGATGTGATTTAATTTCTGCAGTAATTACATCACAGTATACTATGATCTTGCTGATCATGCTTGATCTATCTATCTATCTATCTATCTACAGTATGAATTAAATTCATCATGTGACGCATAAGGCAAGGAATTGAAAGCAATGGAGTTCAGTTCATAAATATATGCAGGGGTACCTTTAGCATCTTAATCGCGATGCACAAGTCGCTTGACCATGATTCATGGGTTGAAGAAAAGTGACAACAAATTTAGCTACCGTGCTTACCTATCTTTGCCTACATTAAGAAGATTGATGCAATTCCCTCATCAACTGGCATCTGAATGCATTAGTTTAATCATGGAGAAGCCATGGAAATGTTCACTTGCAGACGTCACCCTGAGAAACCATTACCATTTGAACAGTGAGAACTGAGAGAGAGATGAACAGGCTTTTTGAATTTTGGGTTAACTGATTTTTTTTTTCAGCACTGTAAATATTTTTTTACAAATCACAGAGATGCAGAGAGGCATAAAGCAATGATTAGTGTCAATCAGTGGCCTTCCTATCTCAAGCTGGCATGAACAAAAAGCACAATTGCACATTGTGTGTGGATGGGGAAAAAAGGCTGATGTGTTGTGATAGAAAGCCCAGCCGTCAGAGGCGTTTAGGCTTTGATGAGGAGGCATCTGTTCTCCTGATGGTGGTGGGGATGCGCTCCGCTCTGTGTATGTGTGTGTGTGTGTGTGTGTGTGTGTGTGTGTCAGCATGCCTCAGAGTTCAGCAGTCTAAGCCACACAAATGACCCACAATACGGCAACAGACCCACAGGGGAAATAAAACAACGAGACAATCGGATTTCAGCACTGAGGCACTTGAGCTATAAGGAAATGGAGGGGGAAAAGATCATTTAGGCAGCCTTGCGTTCCTTTTCTCATGTGTCCTGTACTGAACTGATGGCCCCTTGTATTAAAGAAAGTCTCCATGTGATAATTAAATGTAATGGCTGAATAACGATTCTGAGGATGGGGAATATGGGCCCATATGGAGCACTGAAAAAAAACCTAATATGCTTTTACACACAGCACCGTCATGCCTCATGAAAAAGACAAAGCAAAGGATATTGCAAATCTCATGTCTCTCTGTATTGACTGCTGTGGCTCAAAGTCTCACTTTATGACTTGTGCATATTATTATCTTTAGCTACTTTATGAGAGCAGTAGCACTGCCCGATTGCAAAATGCAAAATAAAAATCCAGTTTTAATAACTAGAGCAACTGATTCATTAAAAAGATCCATTAAGAGTCATTAAAAATATGAATTAAAAAGGCCAGTATAGATATCAACACATTTGCTGCTCTCCTCATATGCAAAATAAATATAGAATATATACACACTATACTGTTCAAAAGATTGGTGTTGGAAATTTCTAATGGTCAACAAGGCTGCATTTATTTGATAAAAAAATACAGTAAATATGATGATTTAAAAAACTGCTTTCTGTCATACGATCCTTCAGAAATCATTCTAATATGCTGATTTGCTGCAAGACACATTTCTTATCATTATCAGTGTTGAAAACATTTGTGCTGCTTAATATTTTTTTGTGGAAATTGCATGCATTTTTTTAGGATCCTTTGCTTAATAGAACGTTTTTAGAAAGTTTTGGAATTGTAACAATGTAAACGTCTTACTGTCACTTTTGATCAATCTAACGCATCCTTGCAGAATACAAGTATTCATTTAGAAACCACTGACTCAAGGAAAAAAAATCAGTCCATTGTAGTCTGATTCTCAAATAAATAACTCTTAGGAGTCGGTAATTAGTGGAGTTCTTATTAGTAATTCAAAAACATAAAACATGTGATTCACAAAGAAATGACTCCTAATATGAACCAAATTCTTTAGATGCATTAAAACAAAAGAGTGTACATTCATGTACAAAGATGTTATGAAGGTCACTATCGATATCATGGCTAGGATGTTGCTTAGCTGTAGCCTACTGTACATGTATAGGTAAAGGGCAACCAAAATAGAGCACCTTTCTTTCATTTCTACTAAACACTTAAGAATGCTGTGTACATTTACACATTTTCATTATTTTAATTTACATTAAAACAAATCTGTATCTAGAATCTTGAATACTTCCACAGCACAGACTGATGGATTGGAGACAGCATTGATCTAAACATGAAACTAGCAGAATGTAATGCAGCCTTGAATATGACGTGTCAGAAAAATCAGGCAAAAAATTTCCCCATCAAACTGACATGACTGCAGTTCCAAGTTGTTCCAATTCCAAGCTATTTGAACTGAAATCATGTGGTGCATTGACTGGAAGCAGATAGCCTGACTAGTACACACATTATTTTTTTCAATCCTTTCTAGCATCTTATCTGGTTAGAACCAGTGGTCCATCACCTACTGCTTCCGTGAGATGCCCTCTGAAAAAAAAAAAAA